CATGGTTCAAATTTCATAGCTGTACATCAAAGGACAAGAAAGTAGGTCACATCATCAAAATCTAGGTCACCTGATATCAAAGTTCAATTTTACAACTAAAACTGTGCACATGGTCAAAATGTCGTTGCTGTACATCAAAGGACAAGGAAGTAGGTCACTGTCCCCTTGGGCAAGGCATAATTTTGACCCAAGGGTTTAATTCAAAACAATTTTGATACAGGTCCACCAAACAACATTTCAAGTCAAATATCTAAGCTATAGCTTTCTCCCATTCAGAAAACATATGTTTTATTTTCTGTTTTTACTATGTGTACACAATGAGAAACACTGCCCCAGGGCAGGGCCAATTTTGACACCAGGGGAAAAATTTGAACAACTTTGGTAGAGGACCTATAAATGATATTATATATCAAACATCAAAGCTCTATGCCTTGTGCCTTCAGACAAAAATATTTTTTATTTTTTTCACTATATGTACATAATGAAAATCAATGACCCCCGGGGCGGAATCAATTTTGACCCCAGGGCTATAATTTGAACAATTTGCAAGAGTTCACTACACAATGTTTCATGCAAAAATATATCTTAACTCTAGCCTTTGTAAATTTAGAGAAGATGATTTTTTAAGTTTTTACTATATACATATAAGGAAAACCTATGGCCCCCGGGGGACGGGGCTAATTTTGACACAAGAGGCAAAATTTGAATAACTATTGTAGAGTACCTTTAGATGATATTATTTAACAAATATTAAAGCTCTAAGCCTTGTACCTTCAGACAATAAGATTTTTTTATTTTTACTATATGTATATATTGAAATCAATGACCCCCAGGGCGCGGGGCAATTTTGACCCCAGGGCTATAATTTGAACAATCTTGCTAGAGGTTTACTACACAATGTTTCATGCAAAATATCTAACCTCTAGCATTAAATTTTGTCAATTGCTAGAAGAATTTTTTTTGAAGTTTTTACTATAAGTTTTTACTATATAAATATAAAGAAAACCAATGACCCCCAGGGCGGGCCGATTTTGACCCCAGGGCTATAATTTGAACAATCTGGGTAGAGGTCTATCAGACAATGCCTTTGCAAAATATCTAAGCTCTAGGCCTTTTGGGTCTTTACAAGGAGGTGTTTTAAGTTTTTATTATATGTACATATAGTAAAAATCAATGACCCCGGGGCGGGCCCGATTTTGACCCAAGGGCTATAATTTGAACAATCTTGGTAAGGGTCTACCAGACGATGCCTTATGTAAAATATCTAAGCTCTAATCCTTTTGGGTTTTTACAAGAAGGTATTTTAAGATTTTACTATATGTACATAGTGAAAATCAATGACCCCCGGGGCGGGGCCAATTTTGACCCCAGGGCAATAATTTGAACAATCTTGTTAGAGGTCTACCAGACAATGCCTTATGCAAAATATCTAAGCTCTAGGCCTTTTGGGTCTTTACAAGAAGATTTTTTAAATTTATTCTTATAATTCCTTTTAGTTGCCATGGCAACCAGATTTCTGCATGGAATGAAATTCTTTGAACAACTTTGGAAGCCATTCACCCAAGGAACAATCCTGCCAAGTTTGGTTGAAATTGGACTAGTGGTTTTTCACAAGAAGATTTTTTAAGTTCACTATATAATCTATATAACACACACACAAACACACACACACACAGGTGAATCGCTATATGCCACCGCATCGCAGATGCTGCGGTGGCATAAAAATCAACCTACCTACCCACCTTGAAAATTCTGGGTCGGCTTACTGCAAACAAACATTTTTTTAAGGATGGCCTGAGATTTTTTTTATTTTTTTTAAATGATGTGTTAAAACGAGGGCTGTTGCAAGAGCAAAATTACTTTTCTCAGTGCTGGATAGTCTGTATGAAATTAAGAATGATAGGCATTAAAAAATGCAAAACTGCTTGGCAGAAATACCTGTCCTTACTTGTAAACAAGTATTTTAAATTTGAAGTATAAATGTTCAATATAAATTATATCAAAATGTACACAAATATGGCCCACTACGTACAGCTTTTAATATCACTTTTTATCTTCAAGTAAGTTTTAATATTTTCCAGCTATGTCTCATCCATCATATTAAATTTCTTTAAAATTTTAAATGAGATTGCAAGTTTAAAACGGAAACAATTTAAGCTTATTGCATGTATATGACTGTATGAGATACAGAGGAGTCTTTGTATAATGAACATGCCATGTTCAAACTGTAATTCGGTAAATTACGCAATTTATTGGGGACATGTGGTCTATTTACCCCCATTTGACACGTAATCTGAAATGTTCAAGGATTTCCTGAGTATCGGAAAACGAAAATTATCCTTGATCCTCAAATAGTTTTGGCCTATATTTGAATAACTTCTTTAAATTAACTTGATACATGTGTCCTTGAAATAAACATAAACATCAAGAAATTTCAATTTTCAATATTAAAGTTACACTTAAAAATATCATGAATTTATAATCCTGGATTGAATATTCAAGCTTTAAGTGACAATTATGTTCTATATTGTCAAGACCATTAAAAGTAATCATTATTGCCTATTAATCATTACATGTACTTTTTTCTTTTACATTCAATATGTGCAAACATTATGTAAGACATTTAGTATAATATGAGTCAGACAATTTAAATACATGAATCCCCATAAGTTCTGCGATTATGTTTCAAACAGGCTGGTATTTCCCACATTTTTAGTAACAATTTTTTTGTGTTAATATAATGCAAGTTGTAAATCTTAAGTGACAATACTTTAACGTTTTGTGTTAAATATTCAATTTCATTTTTCTTTTTTTTTTTTTTTTTTTTAAACTTCACATCAAAATTCTTGAATAGTCATCTTGACATATTAATGCTATTTCTTTTTAAAGTGGCATGGGAATTAACAAAATTTTGATATGCTGCAATTTTCTTTACGTGCAAGTTAGTTAAAATTCTCAGTCAGGGACATGGTATTTGTTTTTTAGATGTTGTTTTAATTTATGTCTAAGAATAAAGGTTTTTAGAATGTGATGCACTGATAATCTACTGGATTATGCAAACTAATTCCATGAGAAATGTAAATTCTATTTGTTACAAAAGTGACATTTGATAAGGAAATGTATAATACATGTAATTGTTTTTTAACTATCATAAACAAAGTCTTATTCGCATCTGTCCAATTTTGAATTTTGAGGGATTTTAAAAATAAAATACAATATTTGAGAAGAGCCTGATCGGTCTGCTTGCCTTGGTTAAGTCCTCCAGGAGAGTATTGGCCATTTTATATATTAATTTGGAGGATAGTGCAAGATACAGAAAGATGCCGCCAGTGAATTCCAGAAGCTGTTCCTGGTTCTTTAGCATGCCAAGTGTTTAAAGCACTCGTACACATGACCTCGATTTAAAGTCCCATCTGAAAGACTTAGTTATTTTGGAATTTAAGTTACTTTAGTTGGCTAGCATAGGAATCAAACCCATTATGTTGAGATTACAAATCTTGTGCTCTTTGCGAGCTGGGTAAATTGAGGTAAAGGCACAGTCACTTCCCCATAACAGTTAATATTGGTTTGTCATTTGTCTACTTTAGAATAATAATTGTCTTCATTGTAAGCAACAATTGTTATAATACACTGATTTTCCTTAAAAAATGATAACTTTGACAAAGTTTCAATAGCTAAAATGCTCTGACCAACTGTAATTAAAATAACACTTAATCACAGTGGTTAACATCGGATACTTTTAAGAATCCCATAAAATTGTTTACTTTCATAAAGTAATTGTTTTCTTCTATAAACCACTGTTATATAAATATAAAACACCTAAAACTCCTAATGTTATGATTATACTATGAAATGATGAGAACAGCTACAATTACAAGTCCCCATCAGGTTTCCTTATTACTAAAATGACATTGTAAATTAACGTGTCAAAATACCTTATTTGCATAAAGCAAGTTTTATATGTACACTGATCATAAAAATACAAAGTTACGTCCTGTAATATAGCACAAGAAGATCAGGCTGTGAAAATGTTAAACCTTTTTATGTTTATCTCAAATGTTTATAAAAATTCAAGGAGAAAAGCACACTAAGTCAGATTTCTTTCAATAGGCATATACATGTAGTACAACATCAGAAATTCAGTTGGTCATATTGCCATTCTAACTGGGTCTTTTAACTTTTTATAAATTAAATCTCTTTTTATATAATATAAATTAAAAGTAACAATAACTTTAGTGCCTGAATGCCGCCTGGGTAAAGTACCTGGCCACTTAAGGTACATGTAGTCAGTACTTCTATGCAACTTATAATACATTTTTTTGTAATACAATTATTTTGGTCCTCAAAAGTCATTATTAGCCATTATGAATGCTTGAAAGTGCAATGGCTTGTACTGGCTGGCTTATTTCTGTACAAACAAAATTGTTTATAAGACTAGACTTTGTTTAATATAAAATATGAAATTAAATGTTTGACCTTCAAATTCAAAACCAATGTCTTCTTTACACATCTTTTAAAAATGGTGCATTGAAATGAATACTAATTTAAATTATAGCAAGTTTGTACCCAGAATATAAATGAGGCACCCTTTTTACATTGACTTGCACATTCAGCAATCTTTCTATAACATTACCATACAATTTAACCCCAATCATCAATGGAGTTCTCCATTTAGTTATAATAGATCCATGAATACAATAATGAACAAATTTGAAAACAACTTTTCAAACATTTCATGTTCAAACATCACACAAGTTATGCGTCATTATTGAATTTTTAGTGATGAACCTGGCAAAATGGGTTTGAAAAATATGTAATCTAAATATGGGTAAAATTGTGTGCAATTTATTCTTACGCAAGCAAAATTAGTCAGAATTTTTTTAAGGTATTAAAATAAGGAAAGGCAGGATGTGAAATGGTTGAAGTGTGGATATTTTCTTTAAAAGCCAACTTAGCTAACTCAATTACACATTATACCCTCGGCAACATGACGCTTACCCGGGTGTAGATTTTCCAAGGTTTTTGGCTCAAAATCCTTGGAAAAAAACCTCGGAGTATTGGAACAAGAAAATGCAAAACTTTGCTATTAAAAAAACCTTGGAAAAATAGGGAGAGGGTGAAAAACCTTGTAAAAAATTTCCGAGTTTTTATTAAAAAAAAACCTCGTAAAAAGTATGACCTCGGAGTATTGGAACGATTTCCAAGGATTTCAGAATAAAAACCTCGTTAAATAATTTCCGAGGATTTTTTTTAGAAAACCTTGGAAAATGAGTGACCTCGGAGTATTGGAACGATTTCCAAGGATTTTTAAAGTGTTTCCGTGGTTTGCTTTCCAAGGTTTTTAAATGAAAACCTTGGAAAGTTTCTCACAACTGGGAATACTGTTATATTTTTCGAGGATTCTTACTTAAGGGCATCAGAGAATTTTCCAAGGTTTATTTGAGCAAAAACCTTGGAAATTTCTAGAATATCCATGGAAAATCAGAAAATATAACATCCAATGAAATATTCTGAAAAGAGCAATTATATTGTCCTTTTAAGGAATTAAGAAACATCTTTTTTTTAATAATACAGAGCAAAAAATGATCACATGACTCACTGAAACATTTAATGTCAGTGTGAAGTAAACAGTAATGCACTACAAATGAAAAGTTAAGTTAGTTATATATAGTCTTTAATGGTAAATATTACAATCAATGTTCAGTTATAATTTTTTGGTATCCGGCTATATTTTAATGTATTCAAATATCTATCTTTTGAATTCCTGTTCACTCTTCATGATTTTAAAGTGTCCCTTAGTAAATTTTCCCTCACCATCACAGGGGTCACATGTGGAAAATGCTCCAGGATACAATTCCTGAAATAAATAAAGTAAATATTTAATAAAGTACAGCCATTTAAAGAAGTTAGAAAAACAATTATATAAAATCACCACTTGGCGCTTCCCTCTCCATGTGGTCAGGATCAAAGACTTCAAACTACTTGCCTTACAACATTGTATTTTTGACTCCTGAAGCCAGGATGGGCTTCTTCCCTCTGAGGGAGCTATCCAGCCCAGGATTAAGGAACACCTGTGGTTATACTCAGGACAGTTCAGTATGTGTAGGCAATCAGAATTACATCATTTAATTTCTTTTTTATTAATCAATAAAAAAAATGATAAGTTCCTTAAACGTTTCCATAGACAAAAATATCAGTTCACTGTTGATATATATTGTTTTAAAAAATCAGCACTTTTGTGAAAAGAAATATATCTTTTGAGTGATCCAAAACTACTTGAATGACAAGTTGTTCAAGACCTTTGTTTAAAATGAAGGCTTTAATATTTTCAAATGACCTTTTCTGTAGTTACTTTTAAATGTTTGTCTACTGTTTTGAAATAGTGAATTTAATTTTTTTCATGTTGATTTCTTATTTTTCTTCATCAGTACTTAGTGTCAGGATTTCAAGAAAACTTTGGTAAGCAGTGTGACAATTCTGCGATGTTAAGAAAAGAAACGATGTCTGTTACTATTATTTTAGATTATGTCATACTGGATGTTACAACCTAAAGCACTCTAAAAATATTGCAAAAAATAACGCTTTTCATAAGGTGATTCCGATTGCCTACACTAATTGTATCTGTCTGCTCAAAGTGACATCTGCATCAGTAAAGCTGGAGAGTCATCATGTAACATTAATAGCATTTCCAACAAAGTATCAATAAAAAAATCAGTTCCAGAAACCTTCATTCATTCAAATTTCAAATTGAAACTTTCAAAACCTAGTTTTAAAACAAAAACATACTGTAGTATATTCCTTGAAGCCTTTCCTGGTCTACAGTTGGCTTCCTTAATCACTTGACTTTGAAGGTGCCAATGCCAATGACATTCCAGTATATTCCTCTGCTTTATACTATGATAAAACACAGCAAAGCTGGATTGCCATCTTCTTGTAGTTTGGAACAGTCCTGCAAACTTGCTTACAAGCTGACTCTGTAATTAAAAATTTGTAGATTCAAATAATAGATGAAAGATGAAAGTTTATAAATAATGTCATCATAGTTTCATGCACTCATCTTGTTCAATACAATCATAGACAAAAATAACATTTATACTCATAAAATATCCTCTAAACAATTGTATTTAAACTAGCTTACATTTAGGTTAAAAATATAGATCTAAAATAGTTTGTATTTAATACTTATTTGAAAAAAAACAACAACAGATTTTATGCATAAATGAATCTAAAATTATTTACCTGAACCTTTTTACTATCATGTTTCTTTTGTTTATCTTCCTGTCCCAGGTCATTGATCTTTAGGTTCAATTACAACAACCAAACATTTCCTGAATCTTGTCACACTTAGATAAATGTTTTCTTTGAAAATTCCAAAATATGCTCCCTAACATTTAAAACAAGATATGTCCAAAATTGCTTAAAATAAATCCAGGTTTGCACTATTTCCAACTATAACCACTTGACCCATTAATGTCTGAGATTCAAATTTTTCAACAGTATAACTGAAGGGGCAATCATAATGTGAAACAGGGGTGATCCCAAAATATCAAAGCCATCATCATTTTATTTTTACATTTATTGAAGGTACAAATATATCAAATGATAAATAAAAGTAAAACTTGAAAATTATAATAAGTTCTTGAAAGAGAATCACAGTTGCAGTGTCATTTTAGACTGTTTTGGATTGTATAAAAACCCAGACTCCCCCTGAATAATCACATGGAACAATCTGGTCTATCCCAGAATGCTCAATGAGAAGATTGATCATGCATAGATAGAGCTAGGGAACCACCTGGGGTGCCATTAGTTTTATCTGATCAGTGTGTTATTTTCTATGTGTGAAAACTTAGTGGATGCAGTATTTATTTATCTTAATTATAAGAAATTATCAGGCATACATATTTTACACATTAATTGTACATTATATTAAAAGGACAATTAATAACTATTTATGTTTATTGTACACATAATTAATGGCAGAGTAAATTGTAATCTGAATGTATGTCACAGACTTGCTTAGTAGAATATACTATTTTATATGGCATAAAAACATATATTAAAGATTAATAGCATTCTTATTTCAGTGTTGCTTACAGGAAACCCTAAGTTAAGTCTATATATAGAAAGAAACTGCAGGAAAAATACTGATGCATTTGGAAACTAATAGACATAAACACTGATTGTTTCTTTTTGTATAATTATAAGTTTGCTCTTTTATCTATTCTTAAAAATGGAGAAGATATCTAGTAACAATAATTATAAATAATAAAAAAAAATATGAAAAAAAAATAAAAAAATTTTCAAGTCTTTCTGATCATCAGTTATTTGAATAATCTTTATCTTATTATGATTAGTTACAATACCTTTATAGCCATTAATAAAAGGTATTTTATGGCAACAAGGAATTTACATTGTATTTAACTTTTCCATGTTTTCACACTTAAATTTTTTTAATTGATTCCTCCCAAAAAAATGGCTTCAGAAGATTAAAGTACAAATTTATTGAAAAGGAAGTTGGCCATTGACAATGTCCATACTAAACATTGATTCCCTGGAACAAATCTCTTCTTTCCATGCTGTTGGACAATTGTTTGCTCTGACCATGGATTAAAAAATATCCATTGGCAATCTACAGTCGGGTTGTTCATAATCTTAGTTTGCTTTAACTGTTGATTATTGCTTTTGATGCCCATTATATGTTAAATCATGATTATGTCTTAACATTTTCCGAGATGAAATTTAGTTAAGTTCAATTATCCGAGGTCATTTCCAAGCTAAATATTGGCAAAGTGTTTCCAACAAATTTTACGTAAATTTTCTAAGTTTTTTTCCGAGCAAAAAAATGACAAAGTTCTTATTTCCAAGCTTTTTCCGAGCTTATTTTTGGCAGAGTGTTTAATTCCGAGATAGTTTCCAAGGTTTTCTTTATTTCCAAGGATTTTTATACAAAAACCTTGGATAAAGTTTCCAAGGTTTTAAAAAAAACCTCGGAATTAAAAAAAAACTTGTAAAACTGGTTTATTTCCAAGGTTTTTGAAGCAGTTTCCATGGTTTTTTTCATAAACCTCGGAAAATCTACACCCGGGTAAGTAAGTCATCTGACCCATGAAAGGTAACCAAATGCCGCGACACAGCTTCTCCAAGATGAATTCATCAATCTTATCCCCTGTGAAAGATAATTATTTCACTCCATTTGAGCTACCGACACCCTTTACAATCATACCCTCCGATAGCTTAACAACATGACATCCCAACTACCCAAAAATCGGTACAAAAATCGTGCAACAATCGTGAAGGAATAAGTGGTGACATGAAAGAAACAGTTTAAGATAGTAGAATACTGTCAATGACCTACTTCTGTTGATTCGACTTCCCACAGTGTGACGGCTCTTTGTCATTTAAAAGACTTTGATGGTCAATGAAGAGACTTTGGCCCAAAGGGCAGAATTAAACTGTGTTAAACCAGTATCAACTTTCGTTTGCTATCTGAGTAACATATGTTCAGTCTTGACTTAAAGAAGTGTTGTTAATGACTAAAATGCATGTTTTCATACAAATAAAAACTGTTTTGAAATTCCCATTAAAATTATTAAAGTGATTAAACCACCTTGAATTTTTGTCTGAAGTCTTAAAAGATCGGATATCAATTTTTGTATTCATTTTGATAGATCTAAACTCAATAGGAAGAACTGAGGCATCTTTTTAGAATGTGTTGAACATGTGCACTCTTAATTCACTCACTCAGAATGCCTCAATTATATGAAATATTTGGTGGTTAACTGTCACATGCAATCTCTCCACTTATTTCAGCAATTTAAATCAACTTCGCCTGCATTTTATTAACCAAAACATCCTTTTAAACCATAAAAACGCACCTTAATTTGCGATAAAAATTATATGTTAAATATAATAATAATGTAAAATATTTCACCCAGGTGTTAGAATAATATCTGTACCAATTTGTAACTGCCGAAAATTAATTACCAACTTTTGACCTGTATTTTGTCAAACAGAAACTATGTGACAATCTGACAAGACAATGATTATAATAGCTGTCACAAAATTTACACAAATTACATTTCAACATGAACATATTCAATGCCATTGATTTCTTCTTTGTAAGTATTGTTTAAACAATTCATATGCATAAAAAAGTTATACTCTTTCCCCCATCCATTTTGGAAACTGTTTGGGTTTTGCCCAACTGTTTTTGGAACTTGTTTTTTTTGAAGTCATGATTTTTGGGGTCATTTGGAAAGGCTGAATGAATTGCAAACATCATCTTAATTGTAGGTTTTGAAAAACTATTTACAACAATTTGGGAAAAACTGAAATAAATCAAATTTCTAGCATGTGGTAAATAGGGTTCATTTACTGGACCCATCTGTAGATCTATAAAATACACAAAGCAAACTAAATCGCTCTATTTCATCTCTTCCTGACTCTTCTGGATTAAATTTTACTCAAATACTTTGGGCTTTTTCTACCTTTTCCTTCATTTAATTTTTAAAGTCTGTATCAGGCTGAATTTTTCCAGATCTGAATCACGCTGAATTATTAATTTTCCAGAGTTATTCAAGGACAATTTAAACATCTCTAATAAATGAATATACCATTACAATTTCTCAGATCAACTTGACAAACCCTTACATATATTTAAATTGACAAAATTAATTATCTCCCTTATTGATATTCTGATAATGTGAGTTATCTCTCATAGTAAAATTTTCATTTTAAATTTCATGCATCATTTCTATTTTCATAGCGAGCAAATTTAAAAATCAGGTATTGATTTTTCTTCATTATCTGCTGCAAAAGTGCAAAATCTTCAATTAGCGCTTTCCTTCTTTAGCTAGCATATTCCCTCCGATGATTCACAGATACGTGTGACTCAATTCATGACATAATCCCGTCAGAAACTTCAATTATCAATAACATGAAAATCAATATCAGATCTAAAAGACCTTATCTGACCTTGTGTCTGAAATTTCCCATATAAGTTAATACAGTTTGTACACGTCTTGCTCTGAATTTCTTGCACAAAAGGGCAAGTTTGACTCACTCTTTAGATACATATAAATGTATGTTTTTCAAGGAAACAGTCATGCAGTGTCACCTGCAGTTAACTGACATTCATCATCAATTTGTATGTTAAAAATCACTGTTACTTTTGATACATCATGGCACCTAGCAGTGCAGCCAAGCTTAAAGCCCTAAGGTGCAACATCCAAAATCTTGATGTAAATTCCTTAAAAAATCTTGAAGGCAATCTGATAGCAAGCATTAACTGTATACCAAAAAAAAAAAAATACATGTTACTTCATGGTAGAAGAAAACCCCATAGTAGTGTATTTTACAAATACTAAAGAAGGCAGATATAAGTAATAAAAGATAAATTTACAACAAAATTTACTATCTATCTCCAGGCCATAGCCATTAACTCTAACATACTGCATAATTTATCACCACCAAAAATCTGCCTTTATTGGTTTTATAGAGAATTTTATGTTACATCTAAACCACACACCCAAGGTGACTTAAGTCAGGACATGTAGATTTGGGCTGTTGAATATGGGTGTTATAATGTTTTAGTTTTGAAAAGGACAAAAAAATTACATTGTATATCCCTAGAGTATCAAGGACCTGATCATGCATGCATGAAAAAGCCACAATTTCACTATAACCCTGACTTGAACTTCCTGTTCCATTTTGTTGTTGTTTTTGGATATTATAACTGCATATTATTGGCTCAAATCATTTATATAAAATTAAAGCTGGAAATAATATGACACAAATTTTATGCTGATCATTTACTCTATTTAAAGAAAGGACAAATTACCCTGTGCAAATTTTATCATTTAATCCAATTTGTCATTCTCACATTTTTGTCAGGATTAAATACAGCAGCTGGTAATGTTATAAAGATGACGTATGTCTTTAAAATAATCCATTCTCCAGGACTTGTCTTTAATCCAATTCGCATTACAATAAAATTGAAGATTTTAACAGAGAAGTAATGTGCAAATCAATTGTAACCTTGGTGGGTATCCCCTGGACCTGCTCCCCACCCCCTCCATTCCCTCATCCCTAGAGCCCTGATAGCAAGGGAAATGAACCTTACACTTTCAACTGTTTGTCAATGTGGTTCTTGCACCAAAAATAGCTGGGTATGATAGTCGGGCCTGCAATGTGAAGGAATTGACTCAGATTTTACCATCTGATTGTCTGATCTGAGGCTGGATAATTACAATTTTTGTTGGTCCCCAAGTCAAAGCTCCCACTACTGATGAATAAAGCAACCTGTAAATATCTAAACTTAACCTAACTAAAATAAATGGCATTGGTTGAAGCTTGGGCCAATAATGCAAAGGCACAATTAAGAGATCCTTGTAAAACTTAAATGATATTGCCAACCACCTGCCCGTTTAAAGTCAGCGTATTTGCATGACCTCCATCTGAAAAATTCCCTTTGGCTACTCCAGATAATGAAGCACCTGTTCTTTACCATATGAAAAACCCGAAATATTATAAAAGTTAATTTGATTGTGCTTAAATGTTCTTCCCAAGAGAGCAGCTTCAATTCAATCATATTTGTAAGCTCTGAAATTTTTTCTCTGCAATATCTAGATATCTGGCTCATGCATTATTCAGAGGATTCAGTGCGCTAATCCTAGGATGATACAAAAATTATTGCGATGAGTGATAGGAGGTAATTGGCCATCAAAATACTGATACTTGTTCATCTATGAATTGCCCCTCGATCAATGTTTTCTATGTTCTATAACTTTGATAATAATATTTGATTCTTAGATGAATAGACAAGACCAATAGATATTTCATTGTTTAACAATGATTTCTTTACAGAGTTACTGCACTTTGATCCTTTAAATATCACCATTTCATATACCAATACTTTGATACTTGAAATAATCATTTCAGACACTAACAGTGTATGATGACATGGTGATATTTCAAGTATCAAAGAGCAGTAACTCTGTACGAGTGTGTGAAATGGAGATACTTCAAGTATCAAGGAGCACTAACTCTATATGAGTGTATGAAATGGAGATATTTTAAGTATCAAAGAGCACTAACTCTGTATGAGTGTATGAAATGGAGATACTTCAAGTATCAAAGAGCAGTAACTCTGTATGAGTGTATGGAATAGAGATACTTCAAGTATCAAAGAGCAGTAACTCTTTACGAGTGTATGAAATGGTGATATTTCAAGGTATCAAAGTGCAGTAACTCTGTAAAGAAATAGCTTGACTGGAACACACACAAAATGTCTGTAGTTAAGTATGTAGTTAGTTCAGACACAAAATTACAGACAACAGGTCCATCATCATGCACATTCTATGTGTCCCTATAGGGATGCAAGTAATAAGACAAAAAAGCGAAATAATAATGCAAGGTTGCTTTTTATCACTTTCAGCACATTGATAGATGTGTTATCATAACAATTAATGACTTTCAACATTTTACACATGTGGGCTGAGCTATTATATATATATACATCAATCTGCACCAGCATGCATTATATATTATGATATATCACAATTATGGTAGACTGTATGGGTCAAAAGTCTACAAGCCATATACTTCTCCATATTCTTTTAAGAAACATCTTTTTTATTTGCCTTTTGAAGGACAGTGATAAAGTACGATGATATCTAAAAGAAATATGAAGGAATTTTGAACCATTCCTTACATATATAGGAAAATAGTACAGAATAATTTCTTCTAAAAACTATATATGAAACAAAAGCAATATACCATTATATGTGGGTAATAAATTGTCATATACACCAAAATCACCCCCCCCCCCCCTCCAAAAATTATTCAGAGATCACAAGAACTGATATGGTTATTGATAACAATGCTTTAATGGAGGGAATAGCTAATAAATTGCTTGTAACTAAGAATCAGTTGCTCTGACAATAGAAAAAGCCCATCAACTGTATTGTAATGAGTGACATTAACACATGGAAAATACCAATGCTCTTATTTGCATGCTTGTAGTAAATTCCCATTGGAGCAAGAACTAATCCATTATACTTGTACTCACCGACAAAAGGCCATGTCCCTGGATATTATAGGTGGCTAGATGTGTAACAGGCCATATTTGGTTATGCTCATAATAGAAAACAATATAATAGTACATGGGATTAATATGGCATATGGTTCAACAGACAGCATGAAAGAATTTCCATCACAGTAGTATAGAAACTGTTAATTCTCAACCAAAAAAAGAAGCATAATTCATTGTCCTAATTTGACATTCTCTACAATAATTATAAAAACGTTCCCCTTTAACATGCTAAATTTGTATGATCTATAGGCTTGGTCTCCACCATTGCTAATTTTATTTGGTACTGAATTGGGTACCGACCATTGTTAATTAGTCATTTCATTTGGTACTGACCTGATTGTTAATTTAATTTGTTACAATTGTATTTAACTTGGTACTGACCATTGTTAATTTAATTTGGTACTTATTTTTGGCACTGACCATTGTTAATTTGGTACCAACCATTTGAAATTTGGTACTGACCATTGTAAATTTCATTTGAAACTGACCATGGTAAAATAATTTAAGCAGGTTTAATGTAACACTAATTCACAAGATTCTTGTGTATGTTTACTTTCAATTTCACCTAAGGTCATGTGACACATACCAAAGTATCACAAACTGTGTATATCAAAATGCCAATTCTTTAATTTTGTTTGTTACGATGTTTTTGGTAAAAACGTCAAATTCACTTGATTGAATGTCAATAAAAATATGTGCGTGATTCCGTAATCTATAATCTTGATCAGACTTAATGAACTGATTTATGATGCTTAATTTTGCCATAAAAAAGTGGAGTTTAATTGTAATTATGCCAATAACTATTGTTATTTATAACCTCGGAACATTCAACAAATCGTTCAGAGTTGCACGTCAAGTCAGATTTAGAGCTTTCAATCATGTTTATCTAGTGATTATATCAATGTCAAAACTCTCTACACTTCATGAACATGTAAAGTTAAACCCACACAACAAAATTATACCTTTCTCACTAATATAGAAAAATATGACCAACCTATTTGGACATGAAGATGTTTTGTTTTTTTTAATTTGATACAAGTTATAGCAACATTGAAATTTGTTTCGTATATTTCTAGAACATACAGAGGCAAAATAACAGGCCATAAGCATGGGGGTCATAAATGGACAAGTGAAATTTTTTCCAAAATTTACTCTATGAATATCATAAGAACAAGTAAAGAAACAATGCTTTAGGTGAAAAGGACATTAAGTAAGTCAAAATCCAATTTTGCCAGCCCTCACTGCAGCCATGTTGTCTAAATGACTTCAATCCAAATTCAATGCAGGACAATTTGGCGCACCTAGACAAATATTTAGTATTTAAATGTAGCATATCAAATATGGCTTTCTGCGATATTTAGAAATCTATCTATTTCCTTAAATTATAATTCATTTAATAATTCATTTATTTCAACAGTGTCAATAATAAGTGGATTGTCAAAGAGAACTTCTTTAAGTCTAAATAACCAAACTTTAGTTATACAATATTAATGTATGTTGATAGTGAAACCTTAAATTATATCCCTTCTTTTTGTTGTACTTGCTTACAATTTGACATTTAAACCAAAAGGGCAGTTTTTTGTTGTTGTTGTTTTTTTTTAAAGGGAAAACATTTTAAGGATTAAGTTTACACTCTTTATAAATTATGACAAGCAACAATAGTCTACTTTCATTTGAAGTAAGATTATATTGTAGTCCATGAATGAAACTTCTTTAGCTGTAACAAAACTTCATAATCTTATACAGGTAATTTCTTATTAATACTCGAAAAGCTCCTTATTTAACACAAAAGTCATTGCAACACCACACTTATATGACAGGAAGGAGGTACTGATTTATAATCACCTATAAATTTACACTTGACACCTACTGTTCTTGTCACAAAGTATTTAATGCTATTGTCATTTTTCAACACATTTTTCTGTCTTCCCGGGTGTAGATTTTCCGAGGTTTATGAAAAAAACCATGGAAACTGCTTCAAAAACCTTGGAAATAAACCAGTTTTACAAGGTTTTTTCTTAATTCCGAGGTTTTTTTTAAAACCTTGGAAAATTTATCCAAGGTTTTTGTATAAAAATCCTTGGAAATAAAGAAAACCTTGGAAACTATCTCGGAATTAAACACTCTGCCAAAAATCAGCTCGGAAAAAGCTTGGAAATAAGAACTTTGTCACTTTTTTGCTCGGAAAAGAACTTAGAAAATTTACGTAAAATTTGTTGGAAACACTTTGCCAATATTTAGCTTGGAAATGACCTCGGATAATTGAACTTAACTAAATTTCATCTCAGAAAATGTTAAGACATAATCATGATTTAACTTATAATGGGCATCAAAAGCAATAATCAACAGTTTAAGCAAACTAAGATAACAACCCAACTGTAGATTGCCAATGGATATTTCTTAATCCATGGTCAGAGCAAACAATTGTCCAACAGCATGGAAAGGAGAGATTTGGTCCAGGGAATCAATTTTTAGTATGGACATTGTCAATGGCCAACTTCCTTTTCAATAAATTTGTACTTTAATCTTCTGAAGCCATTTTTGTGGGAGGAATCAATTAACAAATTTAAGTGTGAAAACATGGAAAAGTTAAATACAATGTAAATTCCTTGTTGCCATAAAATACCTTTTATTAATGGCTATAAAGGTATTGTAACTAATCATAATAAGATAAAGATTATTCAAATAACTGATGATCAGAAAGACTTGAAAATTTTATTTTTTTTATTTTCATATTTTTTTTTATTATTTATAATTATTGTTACTAGATATCTTCTCCATTTTTAAGAATAAATAAAAGAGCAAAACTTATAATTATACAAAAAGAAACAATCAGTGTTTATGTCTATTAGTTTCTAAATGCATCAGTATTTTTCCTGCAGTTTCTTTCTATATATAGACTTAACTTAGGGTTTCTTGACAGCCTGTAAGCAACACTGAAATAAGAATGCTATTAATCTTTAATATATGTTTTTATGCCATATAAAATAGTATATTCTACTAAGCAAGTCTGTGACATACATTCAGATTACAATTTACTCTGCCATTAATTATGTGTACAATAAACATAAATAGTTATTAATTCATTTAATTGTCCTTTTCATATATAATTATGTACAATTAATGTGTAAAATATGTATGCTTGATACTTTCTTATAATTAAGATAAATAAATACTGCATCCACTAAGTTTTCACACACAGAATATAACACAGTCTGATCAGATAAAACTAATGGCACCCAGGTGGTTCCCTCTTATAATCTATGCATGATCAATCTTCTCATTGAGCATTCTGGGATAGACCAGATTGTTCCATGTGATTATTCAGGGGGAGTCTGGGTTTTTATACAATCCAAAACAGTCTAAAATGACACTGCAACTGTGATTCTCTTATAATTTTCAAGTTTTACTTTTATTTATCATTTGATATATTTGTACCTTCAATAAAATTAATGTAAAAATAAAATGATGATGGCTTTGATATTTTGGGATCACCCCTGTTTCACATTATGATTGCCCCTTCAGTTATACTGTTGAAAAATTTGAATCTCAGACATTAATGGGTCAAGTGGTTATAGTTGGAAATAGTGCAAACCTGGATTTATTTTAAGCAATTTTGGACCTATCTTGTTTTAAATGTTAGGGAGCATATTTTGGAATTTTCAAAGAAAACATTTATCTAAGTGTGACAAGATTCAGGAAATGTTTGGTTGTTGTAATTGAACCTAAAGATCAATGACCTGGGACAGGAAGATAAACAAAAGAAACATGATAGTAAAAAGGTTCAGGTAAATAATTTTAGATACATTTATGCATAAGATCTGTTGTTGTTTTTTTTTCAAATAAGTATTAAATTCAAACTATTTTAGATCTATATTTTTAACCTAAATGTAAGCTAGTTTAAATACAATTGTTTAGAGGATATTTTATGAGTATTAATGTTATTTTTGTCTATGATTGTATTGAACAAGATGAGTGCATGAAACTATGATGACATTATTTATAAACTTTCATCTATTATTTGAATCTACAAATTTTTAATTACAGAGTCAGCTTGTAAGCAAGTTTGCAAGACTGTTTCAAACTACAAGAAGATGGCAATCCAGCTTTGCTGTGTTTTATCATAGTATATCATTGGCATCCAGGCATCGATAAAGGAAGCCAACTGTAGACCAGGAAAGGCTTCAAGGAATATACTACAGTATGTTTTTGTTTTAAAACTAGGTTTTAAAAGTTTCAATTTGAAATTTGAATGAATGAAGGTTTCTGGAACTGATTTTTTTATTGATACTTTGTTGGAAATGCTGTTAATGTTACATGATGACTCTCCAGCTTTATTGATACAGATGTCACTTTGAGCAGACAGATACAATTAGTGTAGGCAATCAGAATCACCTTATGAAAAGCGTTATTTTTTGCAATATTTTTAGAGTGCTTTAGGTTGTAACATCAAGTATGACATTATCTAAAATAATAGTAACAGACATCGTTTCTTTCTTAACATCGCAGAATTGTCACACTGCTTACCAAAGTTTTCTTGAAATCCTGACACTAAGTACTGATAAAGAAAAAATAGAAATCAACATGAAAAAAATTAAATTCACTATTTCAAAACAGTAGACAAACATTTAAAAGTAACTACAGAAAAGGTCATTTGAAAATATTAAAGCCTTCATTTTAATCAATGGTCTTGAACAACTTGTAATTCAAGTAGTGTTGGATTTCACAAAAGTGCTGATTTTTTAAAACAATATATATCAACAGTGAACTGATATCTTTGTCTATGGAAACGTTTAAGGAATGTATCATTTTTTTTATTGATTAATAAAAAAAGAAATTAAATGATGTAATTCTGATTGCCTACATATACTGAACTGTCCTGAGTATAACCACAGGTGTTCCTTAATCCTGGGCTGGATAGCTCCCTCAGAGGGAAGAAGCCCATCCTGGCTTCAGGAGTCAAAAATACAATGTTGTAAGGCAAGTAGTTTGAAGTCTTTGATCCTGACCACATGGAGAGGGAAGCGCCCAATGGAGAGGGAAGCGCCCAGTGGTGATTTTATATAATTGTTTTTCTAACTTCTTTCAATGGCTGTACTTTATTAAATATTTACTTTATTTATTTCAGGAATTGTATCCTGGAGCATTTTCCACATGTGACCCCTGTGATGGTGAGGGAAAAACTAAGGGACATTTAAAAATCATGAAGAGTGAACAGGAATTCAAAAGATAGATATTTGAATACATTAAAATTTAACCGGATACCAAAAAATTATAACTGAACATTGAGTGTAATATTTACCATTAAAGACTTCTAACTTAACTTTTCATTTGTAGTGCATTGCTATTTACTTCTCACTGACATTAAATGTTTAAGTGAGTCATGTGATCATTTTTGTGTCGCCTCTACGGAGTAGTGGCAACATATAGGGATCACTTCTCCGCCGTCTGTCTGTCCGTCTGTCTGTCCGTCCGTCTGTCCGTCCGTCACAAAACTTGTCCGGACTACTCCTCATAAACTACTGGTGCAATTTCATCCAAACTTTACAGGAATGATCAGTACCAAGTCTAGTTGTGCATATTGTCAGGATTTTCTGGTTCAATGATTTTTGTCAGAGTTATGGCCCTTTAATAATTTTTAATTTTAAAGTTTGTCCGGACTACTTCTCTTATACCACTCATGCAATTTCAATGAAACTTTACAGGAATGAATTGTAGCTCAAGTCCTTGCGCATATTGCACGGGTTTTCCGGTTGAATGATTTTTGGCCGAGTTATGGCCCTTTGATAAAAAGGTTTCTTTTTCTGTGTGTTGCCAGATACACAAAAGCTTGTCCGGACCACTCCTCATAAACTACTGGTGCAATTTCATCCAAACTTTACAGGAATGATCAGTACCAAGTCTAGTTGTGCATATTGTCAGCATTTTCCAGTTCAATGATTTTTGTTTGAGTTATGGCCCTTTAATAATTTTTATTTTTAAAGTTTGTCCAGACTACTTCTCTTATACCACTTATGCAATTTCAATGAAACTTTACAGGATTGATCTGTAGCTCAAGTCCTTGCGCATATTGCACGGGTTTTCCGGTTGAATGATTTTTTGCCGAGTTAATTGGCCCTTTGATAAAAAGGAGTTTTTTTCTGTGTGTTGCCAGATACGCAAAAGCTTGTCCGAACTACTCCTCATAAACTACTGGTGCAATTTTATCCAAACTTTACAGGAATGATCAGTACAAAGTCTAGTTGTGCACTGTCCGTCTGTCTGTCCGTCTGTCACAAAATTTGTCCCAACATGAAATTGGCCATCATGAGGCGACACATGTGATTACTGATCGCTCTTGTTTGCTCTGTATTATTACAAAGAAGTTTCTTAATTCCTTAAAAGGACAATATAATTGCTCTTTTCAGAATATTTCATTGGATGTTATATTTTCTGATTTTCCATGGATATTCTAGAAATGTCCAAGGTTTTTGCTCAAATAAACCTTGGAAAATTCTCTGATGCCCTTAAGTAAGAATCCTCGAAAATATAACAGTATTCCCAGTTGTGAGAAACTTTCCGAGGTTTTCATTTAAAAACCTTGGAAAACAAACCACGGAAACACTTTAAAAATCCTTGGAAATCGTTCCAATACTCCGAGGTCACTCATTTTCCAAGGTTTTCTAAACAAAATCCTCGGAAATTATTTTACGAGGTTTTTATTCTGAAATCCTTGGAAATCGTTCCAATACTCCGAGGTCACTCATTTTACAAGGTTTTCTAAAAAAATCCTCGGAAATTATTTTACGAGGTTTTTATTCTGAAATCCTTGGAAATCGTTCCAATACTCCGAGGTCTTACTTTTTACGAGGTTTTTTTTTTAAAAAACTAGGAAATTTTTTTACAAGGTTTTTCACCCTCTCCCTATTTTTCCAAGGTTTTTTTAATAGCAAAGTTTTGTATTTTCTTGTTCCAATACTCCGAGGTTTTTTTCCAAGGATTTTGAGCCAAAAACCTTGGAAAATCTACACCCGGGTTAAGCGCACCCATTAGTTGTGGTGTTTAACTTCTTTACATTACACAGAAAACATCAAGTTGGTTGAGGTGTTGGTAGTTTTCACTTCAGCTTATGACAGCAAGCCACATTGAATTTAACAGAGCACATTTTAGCAACCACGTAGGGCATGCTGTCAAGCAGTTTACCAGAACTAGTTGCCTTAACTTTAGCAAGGAACAAATGCCGCAGCAGAGGAACAGTCGGAACAACCGTACAAAGGATTTCATGATCAATCAAAACTTAACTGGTCTGCACCATCCCAGAATCAAACCCAGGTTGCCCAATTCACACTACAATGCTCTACCTATTGAGCCTACTAGATGGCAAGCAATACACCTATTAAGCTATCAAGCAGGCTTTCAGAAGGTCAGTGGGTCTACTCAAGATGCCCACTTGAGTTTGAAAAATGATGTTTGATCTAAGGGGCATCTAAGGTTTTCCTCCACCAGTTATGCTGGAAAGTTGCCATAATTATTAAGTGCTGAATAACACTAACTCAGGTTTTATGTGTCAATGACTATCAAAATTTCCCAGAAAAAAAGTGACAGAACAATAGCTAACAATGACTTTCAAACTGTGGCCTAAATTTCCTCATGACCTAACTTGGGTCTTTCTTTAAACAAACAAGTTAAGCATGTTCTTTTGTGGGTTTTTTTTTTCTAGAATTGTATAGCTAGGACCTGTAAACTTATACATAACCAGAATTTATTTAAATTCTAAAATCAGAAAGTGTCAAACTTTAATGGGCAATCATTAAACATAAATGAAGTCTATATTATTTTGAAAGAATCATTTACAAATAATCAAATATGGAACAAAAAAACAACTGCTGCGTACAAGTCATTCAGATTATACACGTCAGCGTTCCATTTAGAAAATTTCTGACTTAAATTTCACCAGTTTAAATTATTTATCTCAAAGTTGTTTTTTCAAACAGATCATGTTACATTTTGAAAGTCAGTGGGCTTCAAGTAGGTATCCTTTTCAGTAACATAATTCTCAATTCGTATGCTATTGAACTGTCTTTCTAAATTGAAGAAGTAAAATAATGAGGTATATGCCATTTCATGACAAACATTATGGCTTTAAAGTTTACATAAACAAGGAACTTCAAATAAAACATTGATCTCAACACCTTCAAATTTGAAATTAACTACCTGAGCATAAAAATACCTGATCAGTTCATATTAGTCTCTTTTCAAAGTCCTCTACACCTTCATTACAAGTTTTTAAGACGTACTTTAATATCAAACGTATATAACATTATGTATTCAAGTGCAAAGAGGAATGCTGGCAGTGGTAACAAATGATGATTTTCTTGGTGACTTTCAAGTCAATTGCTACCACTTTTACAAAGGTCATGATGATGACCTTTTGGTTATTGTCTTGTAGAGGAAGACCTCGGGTACCCTCTGTTGTATTAGTTGTATTATTTCAGGGCTGTTACCTGTCTGTCACCTGAGCACAACCAGTCATAATCATCGATGATTAGCTTCCTCACATGAAAGAATTTCAAGTCCGCAGTGGGATTCAAACCCACAGCGCTGAGAATGTAAAGGCTATAATGATAGACTTGTGCAAACCATGCCAGTACCAACTAATTGTCACTTTCACTCAAACTTACATGTTGGCCTTGAAATTTCTAAAAACTATGACAGACTGTACTCCAAATTCACAGGACGGATTCATCACAAACATTTACCTGGAAAAAGTGGTGACTGTACGCTGTAAATAAAGCCTACAAAACAATTGAGATATAAAAACTCAACTGAAATTTAATACATAGACAAAACAGACTTGAGATACACAGACAATAACTATATATATATATATATATATATATATATATATATATATATATATATATATATATATATATATATGGGCAACAATTCTATTGTAAAGAAACTCATATATTCTGTCTCGAAGATATAAACATATTTTTGACAAATTTTTTTTTACAAATTCTGATAGTATCTTTTCATAGCTTGTTGATCAGACAACAAAAGTATGTGATTCATTACAGTAGACTTGTTTAAATCTTTTTTCTACAATTTAGTACATTGAAGAATGTGTCACTTTCTTTCTTTTTTTCCCCTTCTTTTTGTATTGTTCATCCATTACATGGTTTATCTTACAGTTTATAGGCACATACACCCACTTACTTCTAATCATTTATCTAACTGCCGTAAACCAAATCATATGTTATTTTGTACAAATAAAGTGCATTCATTCGTAAAATTTCAACACGTCAGTGACCCAAGATGAACTATCAATACTGCTTATATATGTCTGCCTCAGTAAAATCACATTTTTCTGTTCATGTTCAGTTATTTCATAATGTCAAAAATCCATTACAAATTATGTGCAAGTGAAAATCTCGTATGTTATGTCTGAGTATGTAACACAGACAAACATGAGATAATATTTTAAAAGTTTATACAAATACTTATAAATGTTACACAATATTATGATGTTCTGTTTCAAAATTTGCAAACACAATTGCAAGAAATCCGCTACTTTTGGCATAGAGATTGAAACTTGGTATTTTCCGCAACAAATGACCAAACAATTGAAAATTCCAAATTTAATCAAAATATGTGAATATGTATGGATAACATGCTAAAATTTTCCAATTTAAGAAGAATAGCATATGTAGTTGAAAAGAAAGATAAATATAAATTGAGATGAGCTATGTTTTTTGTTCAAGGTCAACAAAATGACATACATACTAGTCAGCAATATTTTGCTAATTATGACATACAGGAAATGAATAATGCTATTTGGAAGAGCAAGAGAAACTCTAGCCAGTATAGTGGGGGAAAAAATGAATGAACCTGTCAAAGAAACTGATAAAGAAACTGTTTTTCTGTATAAATAATATGTGACATTAATGTTGATAAATGGCTGCAGATTACGGCACACAGGTAACACTCTTTAAACAGATATATGACAATATCTTTGTGCCAAGGTGTGTTTTTTAATGATAATATTTAACATATAACCTAAAACCTGTTAAGCCAAGACAACCTGTACATGCAGCCTTGCAGTGATTGACCAATCATCCGTCGCCTACTCTAGAGAATGCAGTCTGCATAGGTAATGAATGATGCTGGATCATATGCGACTTCCCAACCTCTATAGTGGGATGCATGTATCTCAACAGGGTTTTCATTTCTATCTATGCCAACGAAAACAATCAATGTGGCCAAACTGTAAATATGTCTCACTCAGGCCTCCCGAGCATCAAAATAGTAAACATCACAAAAGTCAACTGAATCATTCATTTCAAAATTTAT